GGCCCCGCCCCGGGGTCGCTATGGGAACGGGCACGCGGAGCTGCCCCGCCCAGGCGCGCGGGACGCGGCCGGTAACCGCTGGTAACCGCGGGGCGCGGGGGTTGGGCGCGGGGCCGTGTGACCCCGCTCGGGGTCCGGAAGGCGTTGTATCCGCAGTCGGATGCGGAGGGGCTGGTCCTTTGCCTGGGTGCATCTGGTCTATGTGGCTGCCTGCTTCACCCATGGCCGGGTGGGGTGCCGGGGTCTTGGGGGGCAGGGTGGTTTTCCCACGAGGTTGGATCACGGGTGTGTTGGGGGGGAGGGTTTGGTTGGGCTGAGGCTGCCTCAGGTTGGACTCGATGACCTCTGGAGGTCCCGTCCAGCCCCGCTTCGCTGTGAGCCCATGACACAACATATGCGCCAGGCTGAAGATCCCGAAACCAGGCCTGTGGGAGAGTAATCGTGGCGCCTGGGAATGTCTATTGGAATTTATTTTTGAGCGCTGGAGTTGCTTTCCGTATGCTGCGTGTTTACAGTGGCTGAAGAGAGACGGGGTTTGGTTTTTTGGAGGGGGGTGATACCTTCATTGGAAGGTGGGGTAGATCTGCACCTTTCTAGGCTGACAAATAAGACGGCGTTTCTCTTGTGAGTCTGTTGTACAAGGCGCAATATTCATTTTTGCCCCGTTAAAAAAAAATGCCTACAGGGGCTGGGCTGAAATTAAATATCTTCAAGCCAGAGGAGCTTTTGTGAACCCCAGTTCACTTCACCAGACCTTTTTATTGGACCAGCTGCATGGCTGGAATAAAAGTTAGACAAGTCCAACCGTTCTTCATCAGGTGCTTCTGACAAGAATTAGCATTCTTGGTAAACAAGGGGAAATGCTGTAGATGTCATTTTTTATGACTTTCAGAAATTTCGAACCTTTGGACACAGGCTAATAAAATAGAAAAATCACTTTCATGATACTCATTATTATAGGAGGGCAGAAGAGGCGAGGAGAGAGATGTTTCCCCCACTTATCCAATGATGGATTCCCGTATGAGGCTGGATTCGATGATCTTCTGAGGTCCCTTCCAGCCCTAATGTCTAATGTCTATGAAATCTAGTCAGACCTGCCTAATTTAAAATATAATTTACTGGTGAATAAGTAGTCTAGCCTACTATACCAAGCACCTTTTAGCATGGTAGACATAACATTAAGTCATAATATAGAAGATAGAAAATAGGCACAAAGGAGGGAATGACAGCTGGTGGTCAAGGTAACTTTTATTAGCCAGAAAAGCTTATTCATAGAATTTTAGTTAACTGGAGACAAGAAGGATCTAGTAGATTATACCCATTTCCCAACCATTTCATTTTCTAGTGCTTTTCACAGAGGGAAGATGGTCTTTTGTCTTTCCTAACAAATTTTCAATTTGTTCCTTTGCCCCTTTCATTTTGCTTAATGAGATTTATACAAGTATCATCACTTTGAAGGTGATTGTGTATGTGCAGCTCTCATTAACATTAATGGTAAATATGCACATGCATCAAGAGGAGAAAAGATCCATTAGTAGTTTAATAGCTGTCTGTGATTCTGCTGAAGCAGAAATACTGTCAGGTTTTTTTTTAATTTTTTACCAGAGTATATCTGCGTTCTTGTATTGTTTTAGAGATAATAGAATGTATGCTCTATTTTTTATGAGGCAATTGCAGTTATCTAGCTTCAGCTTGAAACTTAGATTCATGTTAATTAGATATGGGAAAAATACCCTTACAGCTTTTACATGATGTGTCCTTGACAATGCATTATTAAGCACTTTCCCCAATTTAGGTTTAACAGCGCTTTAGGCTGTGATTCCTGATATTCTATTTGAATGTTTTCTTTGCTCAGTTTCCTACCTTTACTTCTTGTTAACAATGTATTTCTTGTGCTAGTCTTATCAATTATTCTCTTTTACACTGTAATAAATACTAGCATGTGTCTTATTTATCTTATCATGTTGCTCATATTTAATTGTTTTATCTTTCCTCTTAAATTAATCCTTCCAATCCTTCACCATTGTTACTGTACTTCAGAAAAGCCTTTCTATTTATGTTACGTTACATAGATACTACTCTTGTGAATACTCTCCTCAGTGATATATGGAGGGATTGTTCCTTCTTTCTTTCCTGGGATGTTTTTACATGCATAATCTCATTACAGTTCTTAAAAATGTTAAACCAAATGGAAATAAGAAGTCAGTACAGTGCCTGGATAGCCAGGCGTTCTCTAAACCTGGTTCAGCCAGTCCAGGGCCATCTCTGGTTAAGTACGTTGCACTAATACAATCCAGAAGTATAAATATCTGGATAGTTCTGGTATACTCCAAAACCAAAAAAAAGAATAATGAATGCTTAATCAGACAGATATGGGAAAAAATACTTTGGGCCACAAATAGAGTATATGCAGGGGTTGGCAACATGTGGTCCATGGTCTGGGTCTGGCCCATGGATCTGCTGGATCTGGCGTGTGGAGCTAGGGTGGGATCAGAAGTATTCTGGCAGCGGAGGGCTTTGCTTGCACTGGGGCTAAGCAGCCGAGTTGTGTCAAGACCAAGCAGCTGGGAGCTGTGCTCGTGCTGCAGCAGGGGGCAGGCAGAAGTGGTGGCGAGGAAAAGTCCTGTTGGCCAGGTTGCAACACTAGCCCACCTCAGATCAGAGTTTGGTTGTTCTGGCCTGTAATGCCAAAAGCTGCTGAGCAGTGAACAGTAGAGGTCCCCAGAACAGTATAATATTGTGGGCCTCTTTGAGAAGAGGGGACATCAGTGTAGCCCCAGGGGAGAACCTTCAAAGCACTTGCCCCACAGTGGTTTTACTCACTGTTATATATAGGTTCAGTTTGTGTTATCCAGGTCTCACAATGCCTCTCAAATCTGGCTAAACTTCACTGAGGTATATCAGGATATCTTGAGCTAAACTCAAAAAAGTTTAGCCAGATTTGAGAGGTGTTTTAAGAACCTATATATAATAATGAGCAGAAGCACTGTATATCCTTCAGAAATGTATATGCTTCTCAAATAGGAGTTAGCCTACACTGGATGCAGCTGAGCTTCTCTGAAATAAGTGGAACATTTTTCAAATTCAAATAATTAAATTCAGTTTCCTAGAATGGTGCTAATCTACCCTGTCTTCTGAAATGGTAACTGGAATTTACATGGTAGTTACTTGGAAGATCTATGCTGGATTTGACTGCGCAGAGTCAATGTGGAAGAAAATAAAGTATTTTTCATTTATGGCATCACCATGACATAAAACTTTGACAGTTCAGTGTACTTAAACTCAGTACAATTAAGTTACAAAGTAGAAATGGGGCTTAAGAGGTTTATACATTTAACAAATCTACAAATAACAGTAGTTTTTTTACAATATAGGCAACAGACAATAAATTGGGACTGGCATTGTCTTATGTAGTTGAGCGGCTTATACACTTATCAAATATGCATCTAAGTCGAGTACACTCTAATTATCTGCATGCAACTGTGCAAGACCTGAAAAGCAGGTCTTGTTCCTCAGTCTTTCTTCCTATTTCACAGCAACTTATTCCGCTTCCCAAAACTATTTTATTTCTTAGTTGCTATCTTAAAATTATAGATCTAGGGAAGAAATAGCCTTGTTGACGAATTCTGATCATTGATTGTTATCCTTATTTTTTTTCCCCTGTTGGAATTCAGATCATAAAAGACAGATATTTTTGAAAAGTATACTTTACCTTGGTTAGAAGAGAAAATGATTGTGAAAACAGTAAATTAATCAGGAAGTGAATAGTTTTGAACAATGCCTTTACATATCCCATTGTTTTAGGTAACTGTAAGACCAATGGACGAAGAGGACAATGCAATAGATCTCTATAATAATGCAAACCTAGAGAAACAGAACGAAGCTGCAAGAATCATTCAGAGGTCTTGGAAAAGATATATTGTAAGTCCGAAACAATGTTGAAACATCTGCTAGAAGCAGGAATAACTTTAGGGAAATGCTTCACACACAGGCATGAAGGTCATTGGGATGATTCTGACCCTAATACTTAATAGGTAGTTAACTCTACACAGAGACCTATATATACAGTGCATTTCAAAATGATAAGTAATTTTATAGTAGTGTAAGAGTGATATTATAGCCATGATGGTCTAGAAAGTATGTGAGGGGCAAGGATTTCTTTGGGTAATGTCTTCTATTGGACCAACTATGTAGCTGGAATGGAGTTAGACAAGCTTTTGAATGCAAGACATTCTTCATCAGGTCACAAAGAATGTCTTGCATTCAAAAGCTTGTCTAACTCTATCCCAACTCCATAGTTGGCCCAATAAATGAGACCACCCTAAAAAAACTTTGCCTATCAATTTTATATTAACTAGTCAAAAACCAAGTAAAATTCTGTGACTCTCACAGGAAAAAATCATTTCCATTTATTTAGGGTGTGGTAGGTAGTGAGTGTTCTGTTTTGGCATAAGTTTTAGTAGGCATGGAAACTTGTAGTTAAAGACCTGACACTGCTTCCTGGAAAATTTTGCAAATAGTGAACTAAAGTCAGTCCAGGAAAAATGTCCATTAAAGTCAATATGAGATTTTGGCTTTAATATTTCACTGTTTCTTCACCACAAGAACCAATATCATATTCTTTGCACACCCAAAATTCCTGTGAAATCTGTAGGAGTTTGGGGTATACAAAAAAAGTAGAATTGGGACACTTTGTTTGTGAACTACAGTTAAGTGTTTCAGAGATTATTGTGAGCACAGATAGCATGTCTTGGATTTAAAATGCAGAACAAAACATTAAGTAATAGTGATCCTGCCAATTAAAAAGGGAGGAGAGACAGTAAAAAATGTAAGTTGTTACTTGCTGAATGCTTGGAGATATGTGTATCATAGAGGTGCTACTTAGCAGTTTCTGATATAAGAGAAACTCATATTCTGAATGAGTAGGAACTATGGGGCATAAGACTGATTTTAAATATTTTGTTTAAAAATGTGACTTTATAATTTTAAGCATTAAAATTATAATTTTTTATAATTATATAATGTCTAATGTCAGGGGGTGTTTGTGTGTATACGCATAAAACCAGAAGGATCTGGTTTTATATATATATATAATGTCTAATGGCGGGGGGTGTTTGTGTGTATACGCATAAAACCAGAAGGATCTCCTGGATCATTCCAGTTCTCTTCTATCATAACTGCCACATCAAATTATCTTGTTCATAATTTTATTGAGCTCCCTCTGAAAAATAGCTAGATTTTTGTTCTCACTAACCTGACTGGAACGCTGTTGTAGAGTCTTATTATTCTTTTAATGTCCTTCCTAAATTCACAATTAGTGTATATCCATTTGTTCTTGTGCCAACATTGTCTTTTAACTTAAATAGTTTTTCTTTCTCCTTAATGTTACCCTTCCCAAAGTATTTATAAGGCAGTAATCCTCTTCCCTCTCAGCTGTCATTTTGCAAACTAAACAAGCCAAACTCTTAGTTTTTTCTCATGAGGCTCGCCATTCCCCTGATCATTCTAGTAGCATTCTCTGCATTTGTTCTAATTTGAGTTCATCTTTAATTTCTCCTAATGCATTGTAGGACTGCATTTGCCATTTCATGGCTGTATCACATTGGCAGCTCACAGTTATCCTGTGATCAGCAAAATGCATCATGATCCGTCTCTTCCTCAGTTATTTCCAAGTAATAAACACCTGACTTACCAGTGAAATTTTTGTTATTAGTCCCCAAGTGCATAATCTTGTATTTTATACTGTTGATTTCATCCCATTTCTATTATCCACTCTCTAAGGTCATCTAGTTATTTCTGTTTGGTATACCCATTCTCTTCTCTATTGATAATGTCACTCCCACTTGAGTGAATTAAGCTCTTTGATTTTTGCTTCTACCTTAGTTGTTATTATTTCTACTTGTAGGCCTCATTCTCATTGTATCCATCTTGTCATTACCCACATGTTCATCAATATACTGCTTATTAAAAATTGAGGCAAAATCTGATTAATTTTTAAATCATACTTAAATGAACCATAATCTTTTGCCTGTCTTCCTAAAAACATAAGAATTGCCATTTACTGAGTCAGACCATAGGTCCATCTTGCCCAGTATCCTGTGTCACAGAGTGCCACACTGGATGCTGAAAGGAAGAGTGAACTGGGTATGACCATGGTTTTCCCACCGTTCCACTCTCATTTTCCGCCTCCATCATTTAAGGTATAGGAAGTTCTGATTTGAAGGCTGTATCCCTAACTCCCATGCTCAACAGCTACTGATGCCCCTTTCATCCAAGAATTTGTCCAATTCAATTTGTATTTTGCCTCAGTTTTTAATAAGCAGTATATTGGTGAACATGTGGGCAAAGACAAAATGGATACAATGAGGATGCAAAAATACATGATTCAAAGCCTTTTTCTTCCCTAAATATACATGCATAATTTTGTTTATATAAATTTTCCTAATCATTACTGTAACACCACTGGCTTAACTTTTCAGGATTGGGATGAGCATGACAGGGAAAGATTTAATGCGCTGAGACAATGTCTCAGTGGAGAGCCCCATGGGCTGGATGACACAGTCCCATATGCGGGGTCAGTGTGCAGTGTTGCTCTGTAGCCATACTGATGCATACACAGGGTTGCTCCAGTGCATGCAGTATCTGATGTGGCATGCACATGGCCAGATCTGGTGCATACAGGGTTGCTCTGGCGCACACAGGGTCAGATTTGGCATGTGCTGGGTCACTCTGTGGCTAGATCTGGGTACACAGGCTTGGATCCTGTGGGCATGGGATTGCTCCAGGGCTGGATCTGAGCATGTGGAATCCAGCCCATGGACCAACTCTACATGGAGTCCAGCCTGTGGACCAACCCTGCAGCACTCATCTGGTTCATGGGGCCAGAAGACTGGGCACCGCTAATGTAAAGGATTTGTCCCACCTAGTCCTAAATTTTGTGATTCTGGGTATGGGAAACTCCAAAAAGCATCATGTCTGTGTTTCAGATTGGTAGGGGAGGGGAAACAATGACAACTTTTCTTGATCATATTTATACTTTTCTATAGGATACCCATATTTTTCAATACTACAAAGGACTTATCAGTTTTAAAATGGTAGGGGAACCTCGTCTTTTGATGAAATACATTGACCCTGTAGAGGTAAGAGTTCTGTTTCTTGATGTATATTCACCAACACATTATATAAATTATAGATGTAATTTGAAATAGTTTTATAATTGTCTGTCTTATTTGGGATATATGTTGGTATTTGGGATACCAACTGGGGATGGTTTTGTTCAGTATCTTCACCAATGACCTGGAAGATGGGGTGGAATACACCCTCAGCAAGTTTGCAGATGCCACCAAGCTGGGGGAAGTAGTAGATACTATGAAGGGTAAGGGTAGGATTCAGAGGGTGCATCTGCATGAGACACTAACTGTGCAATAGCCTAATAACACTGTGCAGTAGCATGCTAGGCAATAACTGTGCTAATACACTACTGCACAGTAGTATTAGGCTACTGCATAGTAAGCATCACTAAAAACCATGTGCAGGAGCTACTGTGCAGTAGTGTGAGTTACTCTTTATTGATTTAGTAATTGGTTATCCAAGTACTAAACTTAACACGTGGTTAAGTTTAGTACTTGGATAACCACTTGGATATCCAAGTGGTTATCCAAGTGCATTATCCAAGTGCATTATCCAAGTCCATAAACCAGTGCATTATCCAAGTTTAGTACTTGGATAATGCACTAAGTACATTTAATATTGTACTTAACAGTGCATTATTAAATGTGTAGACATGCCCAGAGTGACCTAGACATATTGGAGGATTGGACCAAAAGAAATCACATGAGGTTCAATAAGTACAAAGTACTGTACTTAGGACAGAACAATCCCATGAACTGGTACAGGCTGGGGACTGACTGGCTGGGCAGCAGCTCTGCAGAAAAGGACCTGGGGTTTATAGTGGACAATAAGCTGAATATGAGCCAAGAGTGTGCCCTTGTTGCCAAGAAGGTTAATGGCACATTGGGCTGCATTGGTAGGAGCGTTGCCAGCAGATAAAGGGAAGTGATTATTCCCCTCTATTCAGCACCAGTGAGGCCACTTCTGGAGTACTGCATTCAGTTTTGGGCTGCCCACTACAGAAAGGATGTGGACAAATTGGAGAGTCCAGTGGAAGGCAATGAAAATGGCTAGGAGGGTGAGGCATGTGGCTTATGAGGAGAGACTGAGGGAACTACATTTATTTAGTCTGAAGATTAGACAACGGAGAGGGGATTTAATAGCCACCTTCAAGTACCTGAAGGGTGGTTCCAAAGAAGATGGACCCGGAGTGTTTTTAGTAGTGGCAGATGACAGAAGAAGGAACGATGGTCCGAAGTTGCAGCAAAGGAAGTTTAGCTTAGATATTAGCAAAAACTTTCTCACTAGAAGGGTAGAAAATCATTGGAACAGGTTACTCAGAGAGGTTGTGGACTCTCCATCCTTAGAGGTTTTTAAGACCTGGCTAGACAAAGCCTTGTCTGGGATGATCTAGTTGGGGATGGTCCTGCTTTGAGCAGGGGGTTGGAGTAGATGACCTCCTGAGGTCCCTTCCAACCCTAATTTTCTATGATTCTGTGATTTTATTACAACTCTGAGTGTTCTCATTATTCATATAAATATTTAACCCCTTTTTGAAAGAATTACTACACAAAGAACAAAAGTGAGAGAAAACCCATGCTTCATCCCAAAGAACAACCAAACAAGAAAACAAAGTAAAAGCTAGTCAACAGTAGACATCATAACTTACACCCCACTTTTCCCCCCGCTCAGCAATCGACCGCCAGTGGACCTGGCACCACAGTGCAGTAGAGAGTAAAATGAAGCCCATAATTTTGCCTTTTTAATTTCCTTTTTAATATAAATTTATTAATAAAAGATTTTCATCTGGCAAATAAGGCACTTCTATGAGTAAAATATCAACCTATTTATATTGTGTACTGTCTTAATACTGTGTAGAAGATAAATGTTTGAGATGAATCTAAATGCAAATAGACAAAGTATGTAACTTCACACTGCATCGTTTTGTCTTGATTTCTCAATGCTCTGGAAGCACTGTAGATTAAATCTTTCTTTTTTTGCAGGCAGATTTCCTAGATGCCGCAGCAGGTGCATATATCAGATTCAGACTGGGCGGTGTAAGTATCATTTGAAGGAATGTTAAAACAGCAGCATTCTTTCTACACAGAGCGACTCAATACCACATGTGTTTATATGTTAACTTAATGTAAACTAAACACATTTGAATAAACCAGCAGGATCAACTTTTTCTAACAAGCGTGCCTAAAATAAGGAGCCTAAATCCATATGTAAGCACCCATATTTAAATAGGTGAGCTAAATCTTCTGTGTTGCTATGCAGATCCTTTTGACTTCAGAGGGATTTGCAGGCTATCTGCACCTGAGAATTGGAGGTTCAATCCTGGTCTCATTGAAGTTAAGGCAGTTTCTTCACTGATTTCAACATGGGTACAAATTACCTTAAACCAGTAGCTAAGTGCCTATATATGTATTTGCCTTGACATTTTGGCCCAGGTGTCTATAGATTTTTGCGTAATATTTTTGCCTATTGATAAACATGTGAACAGTCAGTCTGTAATAGAACAAACCTTTTGCAAGGTTTTCTGTTTTCAAAATACCTTACACAGAATTATGAATTCAATTCAAGAACACCTGAAATAACTGTAAAGAAGCTGATCTATTGCCAACATTTTCCCCTGTTGCTTGGCTAGCAATTTCCAGTAAATTGCATTTGGCAGTCTTTTATCATATAATCATTTGGTCTGTGCTCTTGACCTCTGGTTCCTTGTCTAACACAACCTTCTGAATAATACATCATTAGAATATCTTACATTGAAGACATATGATACTAATAAAGCAGTAGAGCAACAGTTTGCTCTTTGCTGGAAAGTACAGTGTAGAGATCAACATGCTGAGCTGATTTATTACCTACAATAAAATCCAGTTCAGGGAAAGTAAGCATGAGACTTGGTAGGTGTTTTGTACATGGGTATTACAAAACCAGTGTATTTTTCACTTCATAGTTTTGTTGGCTACAAATGTCCAACTCGGGATCCTTAAAATTCTGGTTTATTAGGCAGATTGAAGTACTGCAATGAAATTAAATCATAAACCTTGGGGCTGGTCCCCCCCCCCCACATGCACACACAAGTAGCAAGCTACAAGAGTCAGGTATACCTATCCTACAAGCGCTGGAGTCTGCTGTCGATGGCTAGTCGAGGCTTCTTTCAGTGTGGTGTTATCCTCCAGAAGGGGGTCGATGGCTGGTCCTTCTGGCTGGACAGGTCGGGTGCTGGTCGAGTTGGAGATCAAGAGGGCGCCACTGAGGGTCACTTTTCACTGCTTTTTATCTGTCCTTGGCAGACTTTGGTGACTCCCCAGTTTTCAGGTTTGCCCAATCCAGGGGTCGTTGACCCTTGTGGGACTTCCCCCCCCCTCGGTGGCTACTGGATGGCATCTGTCAGCCCCAGGGGTCGTCCACATGTACGTGCAGGTTTGGGAGTCCGTTGATGAATTTTGAATAGGGCTCTGGGAGCGGTCGATTTGGAGATATTCAGCCCAAAAGTTGGTCCCCGGCGTTGATTAACTCAGGCCAGGGCTTCTAGCCCTTGATCAGTGAGGTTTAGAGATTTCCCAGTTGTTACATTGTCTTCTATTGA